CAGAGGGTCTGGATGGGCCACGGAGCCTGAGGCCCCCACCCCAGGGCAGGGGAGGTGAAGGTGCCCGGGTGTCCCTTGGTCTCACCCTCTCCTCCCCTCCCCCCACCACCCCGTCCTCACCCCCCTCCTTGTCCCCCTGCAGCCCGCTGGAGTGCCCAGCCCACAGCACCGGGGGGGCAGCGCCCTGCCCAGCCCCCCCCAACCCTGCCACCTATCCCCAAAGCTGCCCGGGAGGGGCCAACCTCAGGTAGGGATTGGGAAGGGTAGTAAAAGGGTGGGGCAGGCTGGAGGGTGGAGACGCTCGGGTGGGGGCACTGAGGGGTGAGGGGTGGGGCAGGGGTAGGGACACTGAAGGTGGGGGTGCAGGGATAAGGATGCTGAGGGGTGGGGTGGGGATGCTGAGGGTGGGGGCTCTGAGGGGTGGGGGTGCTGAGGGGTGAGGAGTGGGGCTGAGGGGTGGGGGACCCCTGTGAGGGGTTTGGAGGAGTGGGGGGCGGCTGTTGGGGGGGTCAGGGGGCAGACCCCAATCACCCACCAATCACCCCCATTATCGGCAGAGCCCAGCAGCGTGTGCGAGCGGAACCCCGAGATCTGCGGCCCGGGGCGCTGCGGCCCTCGCCAGGGCGGCTACACCTGCCTCTGTCACCCCGGCTTCTGGCTCAGCACCCAGGGCACCCACTGCATCGGTGAGGGGGGCGCTGGGGGGGCGGGGGGAGGGGGGTCTCGGCCTGGCCCCCTCACTTTCTGGGCCACCGAGGGGAGGCCCCCCGTGTCCTCCCGTGGCTCAGGGAACCGTCTCTGTCTGTCTGTCTGTCTGCGCCAGACATGGACGAGTGCCGGCAGAGCCCGCGCCCCTGCGCCAACGGGCGCTGTGAGAACACTGTGGGGAGCTACCGCTGCGTCTGCGGCCCCGGCTACCGCGCGGCCCCCCCGGGCACCGAGTGCCGAGGTGAGAGACCGGCGCAGGGGCCCCAGGGCAGCGGGCACGGGGGGGTCCTAGGGCAGCGGGGGGCCCCAGGACAGCAGGTGGCCCCAGGACAGCGGGTGCGGGGGGGGGCCCAGGGGGGCGGGGGGGGGGGGCCCAGGGCGGCGGGCGGGGGGGGGCCCTGGGGCAGCGGGAGCGGGGGGGGGGCCGGAGTCCTGCTCTGGGCTCCGCAGGGACCTGTGCCCGGCGTAGTCACTGGCTGGTGCCCGACGTGGGCAGCCCGTAGGGTCTCGGCCGTTCCGGGCAGCCGGAGCTCAGCCATCCCAGAGCGAAGCCTTTTGTCCAGGCCTGTCTGTCCGTCCGCTCTGTCTGCTCTCCCTCCTCAGGCCGAGGGGAGCCCAACTCCTCTGCCCCCCCCCCCCCCGTCTCCCGGCCTTCGGACTCCAGCCGGGGGGAGAGGCGGGTGGCCGGACCCTCCGGCTTGTTGGTCTCCAGCTTCCCAGTGGCTGGATCTGCCATTGTCTTCTCCTGCTCCATGGAAACGGGGGCGGCCAGAGCACAGACCTTCCCCCTCTAGGGAACAAGGCTGCAGAGGGGGGAAACTGAGGCACTCACAGACTTTATAAAAGTATTACAAAAAATTCCCCCTTTGTCACCCCTAGGTCCTTGGGGCGGGGGGAGTGAGTCCCTGACCCCCCCCACACACACTGACGCTGCTCTTTCCTCCCCCCTGTGCCCTGCAGACATCGACGAGTGCGCCCAGAGCCCCCGCCCGTGCACCCAGGGCCGTTGTGAGAACACGCCCGGCTCCTACCGCTGCGTCTGCCCCGCCGGATACCGGCCCAACCCCCCTGGCACCAGCTGCACCGGTAACAGAGCGCCTGGCAGGGGGTCCATGGGGGGCAGATGGGGGGCTGGGCAATGATATAGGTTGGGGGGGGCTGGGTGATGCCACTTGGGGGGCAGCTGTGCCCTGGGGGCAGACGGGGCTGGGTGGGGTGGTGCCATGGGGGAGGGCCGGGCGGGAGGATGGGGGGGTGGGGGTGACTGGGGGTTCACAGCCCCCCTGTGCCCTGCAGACATCGACGAGTGCGCCCAGATCCCCCGCCCGTGCGCCCAGGGCCTCTGCGAGAACACGGCCGGGAGCTACCGCTGTACCTGCCCTCGGGGCTACCGCGCCAGTCCAGCCGGCACCGAGTGCCTGGGTAGGTGCCCCCCCCGGGGGGTTCCCCTGCCCCCAGTGACTTCCCTGCCCCTGGGGGTGCCCCTGCCCCCAGTGACTCCCCTGTCCCCAGTGACTTCCCTGCCCCCGGGGGTGCCCCTCCACTGCCCCATCCCCAGGGGCTCCTGGCTACACCCCACCCCACCCCCGGGGCCCAGGGGTTCCCCCTGTATCAATGCTGGCTTTGGTGGGACCCAACGGAGAGCGCCAATTCAGGACAGATTGCTCCGAGCAGGGCAGTCCCAGCCCCAGGCTGGGGGTCCTTGGCACACCCAGGCAAACCAAACCAGCCCGACAGAGAGGACTTTGGTCTCACCCCACTGGCTACCCACAAGTCACACAAGCAATTCCCTCAGACACTCCAGCTTCCCTGTATCACCACCAGGGGCATCATTATGGGGACGAATGGTTATGAAAACCAATCCCCCAGTAAAAGAAATAAGGTTCCCTCGATCCCAAAGGACCAAGCCCCAGACCCAGGTCAAATGATAACTTAGATCTGACCCAAAA